GTGAAGATTGTCTCATTGCTCGTTGCTTCTTTATTAGTGTGAAGAGCGACTCATTGCTCCTTTATTAGAGAGAGCAAATTGCTGTTTAGAACGGTGTTATTAAGAGTTACATTTGGTGATGTTTGCCAATGGATGGCACCGTTAAAAGAGACTGATTGCTCCTTTGTTAGTGTGAAGAGCGACTCATTGCTCCTTTATTAGTGTAAAATGAGACTCATTGCTCCTTCAATAGTGTAAGTCCTAATCTTGGGGCCACCGATTGCTTGAAAATGAACTTAAAAGCATGCTTCAGGCACAAACGCGGAAATATATACAGTGGAATCTCATATCACGGTCTACCTCATCAAAAACAAATCTACCAAATTACCTGAAATAGTGTGGCTGAGAAAATGTCTCTTACAAACACTCAAATTATAATAAAGTCGGTAACAAATGATCTTTAAAGATTTTTTTTATGGAAATTAATTGTACAGAATTAAATCTCAAACACTTACAGAAGCATCATTTTAATATTTCTCTTACTTTACTCTTATTAACAAAGCCTGGTAATAATAAGTTACCGGATCATGAATTCGGCCTGGAGAAAGTTATTACTAGATTGTACTGCAAGCACAGATTTTAAAAACTTTTTTTTTTAACTTACGATATTATGTTTCGCGGCATAACCAAGGGCTTAGGAGTGAGCTATGAAGACGTGCAGGAGTTAGTAGAAGACTATAAAGATAAGCTAAATAATTAAGAACTGGAACAACTTCAGAAAGAGCAACTAAAAGCGATTGTAGCCGAAGTATCTACTGAGAAAGAGGACGGAGAAGATGACGCTCCTAACTTTCTGATCTCGCGAAATTTGTATACCATGGAAACGGTAGCAAAATTTCATATAGTCAGATTGCCCAGATGGAGCAGCAGCATAAGCATTTTCAGTGGCAAAGTCATGACTCACGTTAGAGACCTTTCAAAATGAAGACAGCAGCAAATCCCGTTGACAAATTTTGAGCGAAATAGAAGTCTAACTAGTCTCAACCAGAATCAGTAACGTTAACAAACAAAGCAAAGCTATAAGAAGATTCCCAAGAAAGACAGGTACCTGAATTTTTTTTATGAAATGGGAAGCCTCAGGAACTCAGGAATGCCTCAGGAATGTACTGTGCGCAGTGGACTATGCTAAATTTTAAATAAGCAAACATCAGTGGTTCAGGAATTAATAATGCATTCTACATTAGTTCCTAAGGGAAAAATAGTTTTGATTAACGACTATTTCGCTTGAACGGTCTTCAGGAGTGAATTAAATTCGTGAACAGAGGTTTCACTGTCAGCCTTTAACGATGAGCGAAGTCTCTTCTGTAATAAAGGAATGGTTCTGGTTCTGGCTCAGTTGCAAGTTAAACTAAGATCTAATTTGGAAATAGACAATACAGTAACCCCTTGCCAAACCTGGAGATTACGCCATTAATACACTGCAATTATGGCGAAATCGCGTTCCACAGTGTTCACTTTCTATGGAAAAAAGGCGTTAGCTATAATTCGGACTAAGAAAGTGGCGCAGTAGCTAGCTGCGTCGCACAGCAGCACCACATGTCCGGGGTTTGATCCCCGGGTTGCGCAAGGTTGACTCAGCTTTTCGTCCATAGAGTGGGTCGATAAAATACTAAGTTCGCTTGGGGACTAAATACCGGAGGTCCTGCGACAAGTTGACCACTTGTCCAGGGTATATGCTCATGCAACCCGGTGCCCACGGTCAAGAAAAGAGATATCAGGGCTCTGCAGGCCATGGCTCACCCTGCGACAAGCTGACCACTTGTCCAGGGTATATACTCATGCAACCCAGTGCCCACGGTCAAGAAAAGAGATATCAGGGCTCTGCAGGCCATGGCTCACTAAGGGCTGTTGCGCCATTGAGTTTATTTATTTATTTTTTAATATTATAACTTAAGCAAACCTCAATATTGTTGCAATTAAAATGAGAAAACGAGACATGTGATGTAATTCTTTTTAAAAAAGACTGTTAATTTTTTGCTTGGGACAGTCACTGATGCAGCTCTTTAAATGTTTCGAGGAAAGAGCTTTTATAAAGCGTCCTCTTTTTCTTTTCTTTCTTTCTTTTTTTTTTTTTTTCTTCTTTTGGATCTATCTCCATTGCAAAATCAAAGAAGTCATGTGCCTTTTTTAACAATGCTTTTAACTTCTTGCAAGTTAAAGGCACTTTATCCTTTTCATTTTCACCGCTTTGACTGTCGCGGGTGTTGTTAAATTATCCAATTCTTCATTCGTCATTTGCCAATTAATTCCTTGACTTCTACTTCTTCCATATCTGAAAATCCTTCTCTGCCAACTGTTTTTGTAATTTTTAAGCATTGTATTTGTAACCGTTTCCAACAGATGTAAATCCTTTAAAACTGTTGTTAAATCTATTTCAATTGCTGTACATTTAGAACTGTTGATGAATGAATGTTGATTCTTATACGAATGAAATTCTAGCTTTGAATAAATTAAATTGAAACTATTCAGATAATGCGCATATTCGAAATCCCGTTCAGCGAATCCACCCTCGGCAAGGGCTTATTGTAGACACGAATTTCATTATAAAATATGAAACTGATGTATAATACATTGAGTTACTGGCTTAAACAGTTACAATTCTGCGTAACGACAGCAATGCTATGAAAACTGCGTTACAACCAATGGCGGTTCGTACAGGAATACAAAGCATCAGGTGGGTTCTTTATCTTTTATTACACCTTTTATATATGCATATTTACAGATGTCCTGTTATAAGAAGGACCACCTCTCTGGAAATCATATTGCCAAATAAACCGACACACGGTTCCTCTTTTTCGTTTCAACATTACATACATTCTGCTGCCTAGCAGCGCCATCTATATTCTCTCTTTTCAACAAATGTTTTCAACTTGTAATTAGATTTCATCATTGCTGTCAATAAACCCACTGTATTCAAATATCCTGATGATCAAATACGTTTTTAAATCCCAATCCCCGTATGTAATTGATCAACTTCATTGGAAAAAATTAAGCAAGTAAGAAAGAAATTGACGTTACAATTGTTTTATTATTTCATTCTTTGAAATCATTCATGCATCTGAAATGGATATTGAACTTTAAGCTCTTGCTATATTTAGATGCGAGTGTCAGCACGTGCAAAAATTCATACTCGTAAAGATATATACGGTGATAAGGAAAACAAAATACTTCTGTCGAAAATTTGTTTCGGTTGAGATGACCGTCGAATATAAGCTATTCCATAGCTCCCGTAGGATGAAAATACTCGCGTGATCGGTGCTAAAGTAGAAAACCTAAGAACAGCTATCAAAAAGGTATCAATCCTTTTAAAATGGATGTCTTTTTTTGGATTGATACAAATACGACATTTAAATTAAAAAAATTAACTAAAATATGAAACTTTGAAAATCAGTGGTCTCCAAACTGTGTTCCATGGAACCGTGGTTTCCGCAAGTCAAACCCGGGGGTCCACGAAATAAAATAAAAATAAATTTTAAAAAAATCTGAAAGCTTTCAGATTTTATATTACGCCCAAAGGGACGCTTTTTAATTTACACATACATACACGGTTCGAGAGCATTTGGACAAAGAATATTTGAAAGCAGCATATCTTTAGAACTTCCGATTGACAGTCTTGCGTGCTGGAGTTAAAAATATTTTATTCCGTGCAGTGTGTTGCCATTGCTCGCTTTGAAATGGTTGAGTTTGTAAATGAAAAATTCGCTAAAGTTTAAAAATATGAAATAGATAACGAAACAAATAAAAATTCAAGATTCGGGCTTCCAGGTGCCCATATTCGGGTGGAGGCTTCAAAATTTGATGGCTCTAGGTACCGTTGTCTTTTCGCAGTTAGAGAAACATACATTCATTCTGCAGATTCTTTAAATATCCTCGGATCTTTAAATATTTTGAGTTTGAAAACTGCAGCCGTGTATAGTGATTCGAAGCAAAATGCCGTTTCGAGACTAAGAATCCTTCTGGGGTAACGCCTCTTTTCACTAAAAATTCGCCATATGATATATATCACAGAGAATGATGTGTAATGTTTTTCAAAACTAAACATAATTTTGTAACGGAAAAAGAATAACATTTAGACCGCAGTATTAAAATTATATTATGGAGCACCTTTTTCAATCGAACAAAGTTATACGAGAATATGTTTCAGAAGAGAAAAATAAGTAAGTGAATGGATAAAAAAATCCGTTCTAGTAACTACGATAAATCAGAAGACTTGCTAATGACGGAAGAGAACAACTTATCGACGTAACGAACGAATTCGATACTAAAATCTAAATTTAAGCATCTCCTGAATTTTTGGTTGCAGATTCATGCAAATGTTTCTCAAACACATTTTAATGCAAATAATTCGGAGCAACGTATTGAAGTGAAAAATCATTTTCAACAACAAAAACAAAATAAAATACAGAAACAAAATAAATGACATTAACGGACAATTTGTTTCTTTGGACAAATTGCGTAAAAAAGGTGCATGCGCACAGAAAACACTAATTCTAATTTAAGAATAATAAAAGGGTGGGTGACACCCAGAGCACGAGTTAATGCTATTAATGAATAAATTACATTAATTTTATGTCAATAATATTTAATGAAAATGGAATAATTTTTTAATTGCCTTTACTATAACGTATTAATCTGCTTTAAATATTACGTTAAGATATACACTGCTGGCCGTTAAATTTGCAACACCATGAAAGAAAGCAAATACAAAAAAGATATTTATTGCATGTAAATAGTATAGCATGAAGACAAAATGATTAAATTTGTAAGCATTTTGGAGGTTTACAGGGGGCGAAATTAGTAGAAACATTTGCCACCCCTGACAACTAAAACGGCCCTTACCCCATCAGGCAGGAGTCAAATTGGGCTTGGATGACAGAAATGGGCAATCATTCCATGCAGCTTCAAGATCTACGCCACACTCTGTCAACCGTATTAGCTGGAGAGGAGTGGCGGGCCTGTCTCTCACCAGCCGCCCATGACCAGTTGTTTTCAATGGGTGACAGACCTGGATATCGTGCAAGCTAGGACAGCAGTCGAATACCCTGTGTATCGAGGAAGGTCACAGCACGACGTGCAACATGTGGTCTTGCATCATCTTGTTGGAATATAGCGTTTGGAGGCCTCGAAGATAGGGTTCAAAAACTGGACGTAAGATGTCAGAAATGCACCCATCTGTATTCAAATTGCCGTCGAATCCGAACTAGAGATGTGCGTATCGTGTACGCAATGGCTGCCCAAACTATCACACCAGGTACAGGGCCTATACCGATATCGAATGCAAGCTAGTGAACTGCTGTCTCCTCTAACACTTCAGACACGTTAATAATAAATACGAATAGAATAACAGAATGCATATGATGGAATTCATATACAGAAGAGATTAGGAGAAATTGCCTAAGACATCTAGTCCTTGATTACGCTAAGAGTAAGTAAAAACAGTTTGTCCTCCTCTAAAAAAAAAAAAAAAAAAAAAAAAAAAAAATTAATCACTTAGTTCATTCCGGTACTTAAAGAAGCAAATTAATTATTGCTTTAATTACGAAAAATAGTTTATCTTAAAAATGGTTCATATATAAGATTATATTAAATTGATTTCTAAAGTGTTTCATTTACTTAAACATACGATTTTTTGTAAACATATCAAAAATTAAATAATTTTTTTGTTTTTCAACCAAGAGGTTAAGTTATATGAAACTTAGCGAGACAACAGCTGTTAAATCATAATGGTTTTCTGTTCTGGCAGTTACAGATGCAGCGACATCTGCGTTCGATTCAAATAAATGTTTGTTCGTGAAATCGTGCAATAACAACAAACGCTTGTTTGAAAAGCTGAGTTGTAATTTTTATTATTTTACAGTGATCGTTTTCTCTACCATTTCCTTCGTTGTCAGTAAGACTTACGACTAAGTTTTCAAGGTCATGACGAAGCGCAAAGAAATATAGTGCAAAATTTCCTTAACTTCACCTTTTGCATTTTACTATAACAACTGTTTTTTTTTTTTTTTTTTTTTATTCAATATATAAAAACACTTTCACTGGAAAGACAGCGTTATGTGACGAATATGTTTACTTTACTTTTCTTTTAATTTTTTTTTTTTTTTTCAAAATAAACTGTAAAACATTTTATTTCTGAATTTAAAGCAATAAACAAAATATCCGCACCTATTACACATGTTTGTTTATAGTATTTTGTCATTTAAAGGCAAGAAGGAAATGATAAATTGAAAGGAAAACATCCCAGGCATATTATATAAATATGTAGTTATTCAAAGTACTTTAAAAATATTGACCATATTAACGCTTTTGTATGACAGTTTATTACGTAGAGATTTGTTTGCACAGATAGGTTATTTAATCAAAATTTTAATCTTTTTAATTTTTTTTCCCCTTCCTTTACGAAGTAAAGAAAGTATTGTAATCGCGAAAAATTTCAGGTATCATATTTCAACGAAAATATCCATTTGGACCGCTCTTGAATCCATTTGAGAGATGTTACACAATACACCTACGGACACAATAAAGAACTCTTTTTCCCAAAACGGATTGTAAAATGGATTTCAAATGAATTCAGAAGAGATTCTTTCGTGATGTCTTTGGACGTACGTACGTACGTATGTGTGTATCTTGCGTAACTCAAAAAAGAGTAGCCTCAGAACTTTGAAGTTTTGTACATGGAATTGATATAATATGTAGTTGTGCAGTCTCCTCTTTGTTAAATGTTTTCCTGCCCTCATTGAATTCGCAATTTACCAGTTTGCTCTTGGGCTCAATCCTGCTAACATAACTTTTTTTTAAAATCTTTTTTAACTTTATTTATTAAATATCACTTTCTTCGCTTTTATGCCATTAAAACTCAACAGCATTCATAAAATTCAAGAGTCGAAACACAAAGTATTTAAAAACAGTATATCTTTAGAATTACCGATGGAATATGAAGTTTGCCATATATTTTTTTGTATTCACACTGTATTACTTCTCTAAAAATAATACATGGCGATAACATTTGTCGGCAACGTCTTTTTATTTGGAAAGCGATTGAGACATAGATGTGATAATCCAGACTAACTTCTGGGGCTAAAAAAAGACAGCATTCACAAAAAACCAACAATCTGTTTGCAAATATACCTAGGGTTGAGACAGTCGAAAAACTGGAAACTTTACGATTTTTCCGTCCTTCAAATTTTTTTAATCCTGGTCTAAAACAACGTTATACATTTTTACTCAATACTGCAGGAAAATTATTTTCACAGATGATTTATTGAAGTTTTCATAAAAGAGCTAGATTCATATGAATTCCGCAGTATCCAGTACCGGTATTATCCTGTGGTCTTGAGTGCACTGCTCTTGTTTCAAACAGTTGTTTTCCAGTGAAATCTGCCAGAACTTCCAAGCAAGTCCACTGTGCTTTCTGGAAATTGATTCTTGAATTATCTTAATAATTCTGGATATCTACTACTTCCAGGATTATTAATGGATGTTTCTAGCAACATTTGACTTGATTCAAAATATTATAGCAACAAGAAACTGAGTAACATGTGTAAAAGTACGAATTATTTGTTTGGAAATGGTTTAATAGAATCTGGCGACGGGTAAACATGCGGTCACGCGATAACAGTTGTCAAAAAGTATCCGTATCGGTAACATTATGCCGCGATATTGCGAATTTTGCAATGTGTCCGGCTCAATAAAAATGTTTCGATAAAAGGCACTTCACGTAGTAAAACATCACGTGAGATTCCGAGAAGAGAAAATTTAATAAATATGGAAGTGAGGAGAACATTTTCTCCTAGATTTGAGAGATCAAACCTGGGAGTCCTAATGGGTTGGAATATGAGATTAACGTCATAGTAGAGATAAAAAAAAAGGATACACAAAATACAAATAAAAAATTCGGATAGAGACAGAAAAATAACTATATACAATATATACAAATAACAGGAGTGCATGTGTAGGGTTTACGTTGGAAAATTTTAAATCTCTAAGGAGATGTGTAGCATAAGGGCGTAATTCTCTGTCTTCTTGTAGAATATCTTATTGAAACGAGTTAAAATTCGCCAGATGGTTACAAATAGTAGCTTTTCTGTAGAAATTGCTATTTATTTTGTTAAGAAACTTATCGATAGTTTCAATGTTGAGGTCCTCGTGTAGTCTTTGCGCATGTAGGAGTGTACGTTAGTATTGATGCTCAGATATTTACTTTGCACTTGTTGGAGTTTGAGCAAGTCATTTTTGGTAACAGTAGTCCAAGCCGGTGAAACATAGGTAAGGACTGGACACACAGCTGATATATAAATAAGACGATTCTTTCCAAAGCATAATTTGAATCATTCCAATAATTGGAAAAAGGCAATTGATGACTTTTGTTGCTTTATTCTCAACATTCTGAATGTGATCCTTCCAATTAACTTTGCTATTGAAAGTGATACGAAGATATTTGGCTTTGCGAACTTTTGGAATAATTTCATCAAAAAGAATCAGGTTTCTTTTTACGTAAAATATTCACGCGTTTCTTACAAGTAATTAACAGCTGAGCTTTATCGGGATTGATGAATATTCTACACTTTGTATACGAGTTTTCAGTTATTGGCATGAACTCTTGGGAGCTTTCGGATTGCATGCTTTGCGTTTGCTATTTGATGCCAAGGTATCATCACAAATTATTTCATGGTCTTGTTTGCGTAGAAAGACTTGTTGAGTTTGTTGGCGCGGTTTCTTCATGTTGTCTTACTCATGTTGGATGTGTCAAAAGCATAAATTAGGCGTGAGAGTCTAATTTACAAAGTAATCAATTTGATTCCCACAGAGAAATCATACCTATAATTATGTCCTTCCTTACAAATAGGAAATTTACAGTTGCTATTGGTAAAGCATGATCAGATTTACGTGACATCGCAGTTGGAGTTCCACAGGGTTCTGACTTAGGCTCTATCTTCTACCTCTTCTACATGATGGACTTTCCCAAACCAGTAAATTATACAAATTATTTTATGGGCTGTTTGCGGTATCATCAGCATAACAACAAATATTTATAACTTTGCTTTTGCTAAATAAAGGAAAGATTATGATTATGTTGGAAAAAGTTGACGCGGCCATTACGTTAATCTCATAAAATTTTTCGCTCGTTTTGAAAGTATCAACCCCTCTAAGATAACTAAAAAATATTTGCTTTAAACTAATTTGCGCAAGCAGTACAAAAATATAATGTGGCATAATATGGCAGACGAAGATACTAGGAATAGCAGGTGTGAGAATGCTTATTTGGCAATGTAAATGACGTTACGGCAACGTACACGGGGTCTATCGGGGGCGAATTATCGGCTTAATTAACATTGAATAATTAACATTAGGTTTAAAGCTGAAGATATTTGAAAACTATTCCCTATTTTGCTATTTCACATGAAATCCATTTCATATTTTTATTAAAAAAATTAACGAAATTAATTAAGGCAGTTTTGGTTTTTGGTATATTGTGTATGTTTTTAGTTCTTGGTATCTTTAGTTTTTGGTTCTTGAAAGAAATTTTCTTTCAGATATTTAACCTTTTTGGATTCCAGTTATTTATTTATTTATTTTTTAATTTTCTATATGCTTCTTTCCAGAATCAATGAATTTTTTACTAATATGTATCTAGTTTAAATAAAATATCTTAATTGTATAACTGGAAGCCTAATTTTCCTCTAAAATCGTTACACTGGGGTGTTCTTTCCACTTCACATTTACACGAAAGCGTCCTGTTTGAAATATAGTAAATGTCCTTCACAATCCATTAGAACTGCAAATACAAGGTCATTTATCATTTCCGCTTTCATTTTCTTCAGATCGTCTCTGTTTTTCTTTTAGGTTTCAAGGATCAATCATTTACTTTCACTTCTACGCGATTACAGTTGAATTTCATTTACCCTTCAATTCTGGAGCATCTGGCTTGACGGTTAAGAGAACACACTGATATTGGATCTCCCCCCCTCCAGTACTCACTACTGCCATCAGATACATGCAGTCGGTACCGAAGATACATTTTATTTATATTACATTGTATAGAGCGGATAAAAAATCGAGATTACAAAAGAAAACTGGTTATGCTGTAGGTCCGTAGCTTGTTTACCATCACGAGAATCGAGAGAGGAAAATTATGCGAATAATTTAGTTTCCGAAGGATGCGGTTACTGTTAAAACGTAACAAATGAAAAGTAATTGTGAACAAACTACATGTAACAATCACAATATTATTTCTTTAAAATAAACCTACATTCCAATGAAAATACATTTTAGTATGAACATTATAAATATGTAATAAGATATCTCCATTTTTATTTCCTTGTAACTTTAATTTCGCTGGTTCTTATTGTTGTCTCTGGTACTCCTTAAACCTCAAATCCTCCATAAGTAATTATAGAAAGTGAATATGCAGCTGACTACATGAAATTGTAGACTGAATGTCAGTTCGTGTTTGCTTCGCTGCGACTGGGGGGGATTCTGTACTAGGCTGGCATTAAAGTTCAATAGTTAGAGGAGAAAGATTCGACGGGACCTTCGCAGGTAGTTTTCGAGGGTTTGTCTTTGTTAGTAAGACAAAAACAATCATTATGAGCATGCATCCATTTTAAAATCTAGGGCTACTAGTTCTCTGAACGCATAAGGGAAAGATATATTTACGTGAATATTTTTTTAATTTCCAGAATCTGACGCTAAAAAGCTGGGGGTGGGATGCGCAAGGAAATACGGTAACATTTTATTTAGTTATTTCTTTATGTCTGGAGTTTATTTTGTATGTATTATTATCGTTTAGCACTTGAATCTGAATTAGAGAAAAATTGGATTCGTCCCAGGTATATCGTTTTTAAACAGCTCCATGCTTGAACCATTACTTTTTTTTAACTTGTAATATATTGTCTTTGGTACGCGTGAAATAGAGTTCTCCAAGCCTTATGGATGATTAATTAAAGATCATAACACGCGTTAAAACTGGTGATTCAAAAATGCTTTGATTATTATAATAATAATTATTGAAAATTATGATTAATTCAATAATTACTAATAATAACATAGAGGTATAAATGGAATAACTAAACAACTGATATTTCCAAGGGAGGGATATTCAAATAACGTCTTATAAAATACATTTTATGGCTTCGTATTATTTCCAACGCTATTGGGGCTATATGTTTTAAGAATATGCTAAAAATATATCGAGGTATAATTTTATGTAGCCATGTGTTCCGAAAATATGGTCTTTCCATCTGGATCTAAATTCGTTTGACGTGAGGGTAACTGATTCTGACTCTCACCCACACAGTGCCCTTGATAATGAGCTCCCGAAGATCTTGAACTGCAGAATGCGTGACTCATGGAATATGTGGAATCATCCATATCAGCGGCAGCCCACACTGGGGTCCATGACTGCCGTGAGAGAGAAGTTTTCGTTTGTGTTTGATCCGCTAATGTGCTTGGTTCAAAAGCATTAACTTTTTTTTCCTAAACGGTAGCTGATGCTAAGATGTTTTTATGACGTAGTTATGACTAAAAAGCGTTTTTTGTTGATATCGAAAACATTTGACCAGAAACCATCAAATGGAGTTTGTGGACATAGAAAATAATCATTTAAAAAAAAAAAAAAAAGTCAGTTTCTGTTAATTTGTACACCGAACGCACAAATTATCGAGTTAAAATTATTTAGTAGTTCAAGGTTTGAAGATCCATGAGCTTTTAATAGCACTACCACTTCCACAACCAATCACCTAAAATAGTTACGAAGAAGAAAACATATGTAATGATTTTAATGATTCCGGATAGTGCGATTTCACGGCCGTGAAATCCCGGGTCTGTAGTTGCTTGCAAAGTTCGTTTTTCACACTTACCCGTGCTATTTCTTCTTTAATCGCCGATTCTTCACTTTCTGACATCTTTATCAATAATTCCGAGGTGACCAAGAATGTAGTTGCTTGCAAAGTTTTTTTTTTATAATAATTTAAAAGGCAAAAAACAAAAAGAATCAATTTTTTTCATATATAACATCTTTATTATTCTTTGTAGCGCGTAGTTATTATTTAGTAGAAGTAGTTGTAGTTATTATGACCAATAATAATTGTTGCCTACAGGTCCAACTAGAAATTAGTAATAATAAAGGTAAGGATATGCGTTTATTGCTCTTAAATCACTTAGTTTGTAAATCAGTAACAGACGAGTTAAACTTGAAAGAAAAAGTAAATACCTGACGCTTTGTGGATTTCCAAAACACTGCCGTATCTAAGATAAAAATATTTTATTCCCTGAGTTAATTATTCAAAATTTCACTAAGGCCGTAAAAAACGTAAAATAAAATAGTGAGAAAATGAATTCGGAATTTCAAATTTAGCTTCGAGACTCTCAAAGTTTAATGGCTCTAGGGGGCCTCCGTTTTTAGCAATGTGAGGAACATACATTCATACCTAAAATACAAGCATACATTCTTATCCTTCATAATTTAATAACTAGAGGAAGCACCCGATGCCAGTTAAACTAGATTGAGAGTAATGAATGTATCTAACAACAGATAGAACGATACCGTTGTAATCCTTCTCTAGTAGCGATGCAAAAAGTACGATTCATGAGTCGTACATATTTCAGGTTGATGCGATATGGAACCTACATAAAAAGTTTCGACAGAAAATAAACTAATTATATCAGCAGCAATGGTTTGCAGTTTTTAATGATTTTCGTCTTTGTAGTTAAATGGTCGTAAAAGCTCAAGTTCCATCCAATATTTCAACTATATTCAATTCTAGTCGATTAAATGAGGTAAAAAAATGGATCATAATGGATCAGAAATCAATAACATGAACGAAGGAACAAGCACACACATAAACAGACATTCTTCGTTATATATAAATAGATTTTGTAAAACTTACAAATGTTTTATTATCAAACTCTACGATTTGAAAACGAGCTGTAACAACAGTTTTCGAAAATAAAGCATTTTTATCTCCAACGCACGAGATTGTTGCCACTCGGAGAAATGAGGGAGAAAATGATAATTTTTCCGAGTTTTTAATTAATACCTCTGATTTTAGCTACTTTGACCTTTTCCAGGGGCCAAAAAAGAATTGTAGAAAGTTTAGTGGCGATAGCTATAGTAGTGGAGTTATTTAGCGAACAAACCACATAGACTTTCTTCTTTATACTATATTATACGAGTAGATAACAATTTGCCAAGCGCTGATGCATGATCACGTCAGGCGAATTTTTTTTTTAGCCTAAAGTAATTTCGTTTTGGCATTTTGCGTTGAAAACTTTAAATGTCGGTCACTTTTCAAATTGTTGCCATCAAATATTATCACCCTGTGTTATATTTAAAGAAATTAAACAATGAAGAATCTGCACGAATGTATGTATGGTACTCGTATTGTGAAAACACAACGGTACCTAGACACACAAATTTCGAATAACGTAGTCCTCCACTTGAATATGGGCATCTCCAAGCCCAAATTTGGAATTTTTTATTGTCTATTTCATATTTTGTAAAACTTGAATGAATTTTTGATTAACAAACTCAACGATTTCAAAGCCAGAAATGGCAACACTGTACGAAAAAAAATTATTATTATTAATTACAAGCTGAACCCGCGACATGACGTCAGCTAGGCTCATCATTTAACCATTATAGTATATTTTTCTTTTTTATAATAACTATTTTAATGCTAAAAGAAAGCTTTCCCACGCCGGGAATTGAACCCGGGCCTCCTGGGTGAGAGCCAGGTATCCTAACCACTAGACCACGTGGCACTCGAAGACAGCTGCTTCGATATATATCTTTAATTTAGATAGAGCACCGTTTTTATCACCGTGTTTGTTTTTTACGTCATTTAGGGTTTACACCAACGAGATATTATACTGTTATATGAAGTCGTTGGTTTACACCCCAACCGTCGTCCTATCTCGAAGATAGGCTAACGTGAGGATTCTTTACTTTTTAAACGTGCGACAGAAATAAAAAATACACTGTAAATACTATAAAACTTTAATGATACAGTAAATGGATCAGTAAATGTGCTCTACTGTTATAATCATAAGCAAGTCATTTATAAAATCATTATTATCAAAAGGTGTAAGCCCAGAAGGGCTGTTAATTTCGTTTTGGCATTTTGTGGTGATTCACTATAAACGGCGTTTCACTTTTCAAATTGTTGCCACCAAATATTATCACCTTGTGTTATATTTAAAGAAATTAAATAATGAAGAATATGCATAAACGTATGTATGTTTCTTGCATTGTGATAAAACAACGGTAGCCCAAATTTGGAAATGGTTTTATTATCTACTTGATATTTTGTAAAGCATTTATGAGTTTTTCATTAAGAAACTCAACGTTTTCAAAGCGAGCCATGACAGCATAGTACGAATAAAAAAAAATAAAAATAATCTTCAACGCGCGAAATTCTAAAGTATCGGAAATTCTAAAGACATTCTCTTTTAAAATGACTTTGTGATATTGCTGTTGAATTGAATTTTTTTTGTGTAAATGCGAAGAACTTGATATTTAATAAATAAAGGTAAGACACTATACGTTAAAAAAAAAAAGCCCCTTTGAGAATAATATAAAATCTTAAATTTTAAGTTTTTTTTATTATTTATTTATTTATTTATGAAATGTTAAAATGAAAATAAATTATTATTGTTATTTTATATTATTATTTTCCTGTTGCAGGTATTTGTCTACTGCTGATTTTCCTTGCAAATATCGTAAATAGGTTTGTAAGGATATGCGGCGTCCGTATTTTCCACAAGTAGATTTATTTATTTTAAAATTTTCAGTATTACTGTTTTAGCTTTTCTTTCTTTCTTTCTTTTTTTTTTTTTTTTTTTTTTTTTTCTTGTTTAGTATGTATACCAGAATGACCATAAGAAGACTTTACATATCATCTTAATTAATTTTTTTATTCAGGTGAAATATAAATCCGAATTTATGCCTGCGCTTTTAAATGATGACAATCACAAAGCAATGTAAATAGCTTTCTTTTTTAAAAATTATACGTTTGAGAATTTCCGAATGATGATACTTATTTCTGTACTTTTATATTTTTAGATGGATCCCGAATACATGTTTGAACATGAAGACTTAACTTTGCATGATCAATTGATTGATATTATGGACTTTGGGGATTTGAGACCATCGCAGCTGGATTCATGTTTTGTTGATACCTTTACTTTGACTTGTCTTGAATATAATAAAAGCTTTTAGACAACGGAGGAATTTAATGCGTCACATTAATGTTCAACATTCGACAGGCAGAAATATTTGTTCCATCCACCAGAATATCTTTCGAAGCTCAGATAAACTGGATCGTCATATGAAGGTTCATTCGAAAACACTGAAGCCGGGACCATACAGTGAAACGAGTAGTTCGGCCGCCTTCAAGCCTGTCCTAAACGAGCTCTCCAGGAACGCTCACTTTGAATTTTCGACGCGGAGGTCATTTATCTCAATGAAGCCACTAGCAAGAACTTGCAAATCTTTTAAAATTCATCAAAAACAAAAATCTTGAACAAAATTCTAGAAGCTGACCAGAGCTTAAATTGCGCCGGAGCTCGGCTCCGGTACTTCTTAGTTTTGGGGACATACTCTAATTCTAGCCGGAGCCCTAAATAAGAAGGCTCTGTCACTTTTTTATGTAACGGAACAATTATTTTAGTAGAAATTTGATCTAGAAAATTTTATTTTTAGCAATAAAATTATATAAAAAGTCGCTTATTGAATTTTAATTCTCTTTACATTTTATTTAATTTTAATTATTTAGTTACTTTTAATCTTCAATTATTTAATAATAATAAATTAATTGTGAATTAATTAAATAATAATTAACAAGTTAAATAATAATTAATAAATATTAATTATCAATATCAATTAAATAATTGTTAATTAATTTGATACTCATTAACTATTTAATTTTTAAATTATTAATGATTTTAATAGTCATTTTGTTTATTTATTTACTCTTGTTCCTCATTCGTGATTGTCATAAGGCTCCAGCACTCCTACTTTTAGAAATTAAGCCATGAAGCTGACACGCAACCTCAGGGTATTAAATGGTATCTAAATGCTTGGGTAAAAATGGTCAGGAACGTGTCGGAAATCGAGGAGACATGTAGAATACGGTATTATGCATACCGTATTTTCGATCTAATGTAGCTCTATGTGACGACATGCAAACAGCTGTTGAAAAGGTATTGATTTTACATCAAATTTATTTTATATAAAACACTTGAAATAGAAATTAGTATTATTTTTACTCATGAAATGTTTTATTTTACATGTGCTGGATTCCTTGGAGATATTATTACATCAGGTTCAAGAAGAGTTCTAAACTCCATCCAATACTTCGAGATCAAAATCGCTGCTTACAAGCCTTTAGCTGCTTCTTCCTACACGCCTCTATCAAAAGCCATAGTTAGCGAGAAGGCAATGACAAGGTCGTATAGATGTTCTTTGTCTGGTTTCGCCCAGGCAGACCGAATTCCGAAATGGTGCCTCTTTCTCCCCAGAGAAGAAATCTTGTTGTAGCGAGGTCCCTTTGATTATCTGGTTTCAGCCTCGAAGGTCACTCCAACGGTTCCAGAGATAAAGTCTTTCACCGAGGTCGGAATGTGGACGCCTTTGTTATGTACCCATCCCTGGGATTCAGCCAAAGAATTAGAGAATTAGAGCCTTAGAGATTCTTTTGATTCAGCGGAGGTAACGACACCGTGAGCAAAGAAGAGATTCTTTGACCATGAGTTAGTAAAGTTTTTGCCAGTGAGAAAGGCAGATGGCTTTTTTGAGAGCTGCTAGGTGTGGTGTATTTAATTATGGCAAAGCACACTAGGGCTATCTAGCCTAAGGGGAGGAATGCCTTTCGTGGAGGACTTTCTAAGGGAAACTGGCTCGTATACACGTTACACATGGGGAAAACCACGAAAACGCCCATGCAGCCAGCCCGTTCGCGGGATTCGAACCTCGGACCGAACTACCAGTGTTCAGCGACTTTACCGCTCGGCCGCTGGTGGGCCGAGAGCTGCTAGGACTTTTCTAGCAGCTTCTTTTTTTTCTGGGTTACGGGCATTTGTGCGCGCTAGAACTTTTCGTGTGTACTGTTGATTCCTGTTTAACAAATTTCTGGAATATATGCAAGTCTCACATCGTCATAAACCGCACCTGATGAAGTTTGTTTTTTTTTCTATTAAAATTTATATTACTGTTAGAACTTCAGTTAGAATTTCATTTCAACCGTGTGTTACAACAGGGGTTTGTTTAGCGGATTTGGCCACTACACCACAAGGCTATTTTAAATAGCCGAAGTGAAGACCACAAATGTCTTACATGGAGTGGCATAGAGACCCTTCATCCTGCCGAAGGTCATGGAGAATATGTACATCGAGTATCTCACCACAAGGCTCTATGAAGAAGAAATCAACATGTCTTTTCCCAGTCCTATTCACCCGATAGAAAAGTTCAAAAACATGAACAACCTATCTATTAATGTGCTTGGTTGTGAAAACCATGAGATATTGCCTTTTTGGATGGCCAAGCGTCGAAACGGAAATTTTTCAATGTTTTGTATTTTATTTTAGTTACTACTTTTTTTTTTTTTTTTTTTTTTTTTTTTTTTTTTTAAGTTTGACGATATGTCAGTTATTTTGTTTAATGACAATTTTCTTTTCTAGGTTAACGTCATATCAACCTCTTATTAATTTCGCACGACGAGAAGACATCATCTTCTTGAAACCATGTTTCGTCTTCTTGAGAGACTCACTAAATGCATCAAAACAACCTTTTATTATGACTTCTGCTTACATCGATTCAAGAAAAAATAGACCCTGGATACTCATATAAAAGACCTATCAAGTGACTCCGAAAGGTCAAAATGCCTAAAAAAAAATGACTAAACTTACCAAAGCCCAGTTTCAGCTACGTGGCTTTTATGTCATCTATCCCGATTTTGAATGCATTTTAATGAAGCCAGATCTCTCAAAGTCCTCAACCACTTCTGTTGCTAACTGTATAGCATCCGGCTTTGTCACATTATTATTGGACCCAAAGCCGAAATTTATAAAGGTCTAGTTAACTGCCGAGAAAGGGATGCTGTCGATCACTTTTTAGCTACTCTCATTCGTGAGAAAGAGGCTATAACTAAAGAAAAAAATCTGATGTGTACATCCCATGACTTCCTTGTACTTAAATTATAACCAATTTTCCTGCATTTCATTTAAACATATTGAATTAACAGTTAACGAATTTTGAATTAAATCTACTTCGTCCATAGCGCATAAACCACAATAGAATAAATGCGCTCTTTAAAGTCCACTATATTTATTTAACATGGCGACACTTCGACGCTACGTTCACTTAACAGCATTAACATACATTTTATAACTCAGAATGGTCCAAAATTATATCATCTAAAGAATTACCATAAGCTCTATTCAAATACTATAATAAAATCTAAAACAATGTATAAAAGAAATTAAACAAATAAAAAAAGAATCAGTTTTTCGCAGACGATTCAGCGTCGCTTACTTAATGCGCATGCGCCCCTAATTAATTCAGTTCTCACTTCGTGGCAAGGCAAAAATACATTAAAATTCAAAATATTTTCATCAAAATTTGAAAGATATAGGAAAACGTAAAACACCAAATAGAGTTAAAACAATTTTAAAAAAAATTTACAATTAAAATTACTTTTTCTACTCAAAAACAAGCTAATAACTTAAATGATAATTCCAGAATAAATTAAGCATAATTTAATTCATAATAATAAAAAAAGACGGTACTTTGTTGTTGCGAAGCTTAATTTCTCTAGATGGGCAACGAATCCACCATTCTACTAAGTTTCAAATGTAAACAACATGGCTGCCATGATAATCAGAAATTAGGCTTAACGAACTTAAAAAAAAAAACTTTTAAATTGTTGATACTTCCACAATTATTGCATGCAGGTTAACTAAAGGCATAAAAATCCTAACCAGAACAAAATAATTCAATCATTTTTAAAGCAAAAAATGCACAATTTACGAACATATAAGAATAAAGAAACTGAGCTCACTGAGCCGAGTAACTCCGATTGCAACCAAAATGGGAGGTGCACATTTACATGTTATAGCAGTCCTATGTACAAAATTTCAACGTTCTGAGGCTACTCGTTTTTGAATTATGCGGAATACGAACGTAAGTACAGACGCCACGAAAACATCTCTTCACAATTCATTTTAAATCAGTTTTATAATTTTTTTGGAGGAAAAGAGTCCTTTATTCTGTCCTTACGTACGAATGTCAAGCAAAAACATCGTTAAATTGCATTCGATAGCCGTCAAAATGAATATTTTCGTTGAAATATGATACCCGAAATTTTTGCGGTTTCAATACTTCCCTTCCTTTTTACTTCGTACAAGGAAGTAAAAAATAGTAATAGAGAATGCAATATATGTCGTTTCCTTTAGAAGTACCGAGTTGTTCAAATCCCATCAAAAATGACAACGAGCAATGGGAATTGTAATGTAAGTCTTTTTTTTTTTTTTTTTTTTCCAGAAGTACAAAACTGTTTAAAATCATTAAAAAAGATAAAGAACAGTGGTAGAAGTATGCCGTTTTCTTCAGAACTACAGAACTGTTCAAAGCTATCAGAGAAGAGACCGAACAATGGAAGAAGTAATGCATGTAATTTTCTTTAGAAGTACAGAACTGGTCAAAGCCAGTTAGAGGAACAGAAGACAGTTACAGCTAACTGGTTCAACATTAGTGTGTGCCGTTTTCTTTAGAAGTACTGAACTGTTCAAATCTATCAAAAATGACAACGATGAAAAATGTAAATCGTTTTCTTTAAAAGTACATAACTTCCCAAAGACATCAAAAACGATAACGAACAATGAGAAGTATAGACTGTTCTAACCCATCAAAAAATGACAAGAGCAATGGAAATTGTAGTGAACGTCGTTTTTTTCAAATGTACAGAGCTGTTCAACGCCATAAAAAAAAGACGAGCAAAGGAAGAAGAAATGCATGTCGTTTTCTTCAGAAGTAGAGAACTGGTCAAAGCCATCATGATAGAGGAACAGAAGACAGTTACAGTTAACTAGTTCACCACTAAATATCTTCCGCAGATTCTTTAAGAAGAAAAAATTGAAGGACTCGCACTTCACCTTAATAATGTATGTATCTTCTCTCTCAGTAAGATTCATAGTTGAATTTCTATTAAATTGACAGAACATCCATCCCATTCTCGTGGTCTTGTTCCGTGTGACTTTTAGCTATTTTTTAACCTACAACGAAATTTACGTAGCCGTCGTTTTCTTTCCGAGAATAAGATTAATGTGGAATTAAAAGCATACTTTTTGTCGACTCCAACAAAAAGGCCGTCTTGAAACATTTAATAATATTTGAAAAATGTGCCTACAAAAATACATTGATGTTGGAGGGGACTGCTTTGAACACTCTTAAGCTTTCATAACTTTAACTTGTACCATTTAGCTCTATTTAACAAATTTCAGATGTGTAATGTGTGTACGAGCCAGTTTCCCTTAGAAAGTCTTCCATGAAGGTATCCCTCCCCATAGGCAGATAGCTCTTGAGTGCTTTGCCATAATCAAATAAAACCAAACCTAAAAAATTTCGGAGTGATCCTTGTAATTTA